ATGGGAAAATGTTCGGCCAAAACTTTTCTTTAAATCGAGAGACATCTTTTTTTTCAATTTGGTTTCTAGAGAAAGATTGACTCAATTTTTTTCGAGAAGGGCTCTGCTTCAAACATTGAAACTTCTTCATTTGGTTGGCTAAAGATGCCTAACAAAAAAGAGAAAAAACTAGTTTCTTGACGTTAATTGCATTTAAATGTGAAAATCAAGAATTAAACTGCACTCATTGCATTGAATAAGAAGGCAAGCTTTGAAAGTTGTGTCAATGAAGGGATAGGAGGTTTTTACAAAATGATGAGCTTTCTTTTGAAGAAAAAACAATCACAGTTTATTATCTTACAATCAAAGATAAAGTAACATAAATTTTTAACAATTTGGTTCATTTAAGTATTTACATATCTTACAAATGCTATTTACAAAATTTCTAAATTAAATTTGACAGGATATTTATTAGAAAACCACTAGCTTTTCTGAGAAGAGAACAGTTCATTTACGTTAAATGTAATTTTTTTATAAATTGTGGACAAATATTTGCGAGATTATACGGACAAACTTATTCAAGCAAAGAACAGTCCAATGGATCTTCAAAGTAAAAACACTGTCAGATGATTTTTAAGACTAGGCTCAAAGATCTTCACTAATTAAATAAGGGCATTTTTGAGAAATATATAATTATGCCAAGAGGGTAAAAGACCACGCACAAAAATTAACATACAGAATGCAATGGTCAAATTCAAATAGTTTGAACCTTTCATCGGCAAATTTACAAGATGGTAAAATACAACGTTATCAGAAAATGCTCGTTCTATAAGAGGAGAAAGATGTGAATATTCAAATATTAGTGATTAAACAGAGGAGTTAATTTACCTCGACGTACTAGAGAAATAAAATAAATAATTTAACAAACTATTGAACTTTTTCAACTAATTGTTTTTTGTTACTTTAAAGTGTTGAGAAGCGAACCATTGCAGTTCAAGGTTAGTGCCAAACACATCATAAAATTTTACAGACCGGAAAGGAGTGGAAGGGGGTTGTGAATTCAACAGGTCCAGAGAATGAATTCCCCTGAAGAAAATTTTAAACGTCCTTTGAATTACCCAAAACTACCAGTAAATCGGGGCCTTTCAGCTAAGAAAATGCATTTTCTTTAATTTTTATCCAGATGGTATAATGATAAAAACAAGATGCCGTTTAAGAAGATAATGGAATACGAATGATATGATCACGAATTAAGATCAAAAAAATTAGCGAACGGCCAAGTAAAATGTGATAATATTATAGCACATACACTTTCACCATAAGAGAGAAAATATTGACGCCAAATATTTAACCTAGCCTAATCCGAGTATTTAACCTAATAAGCGTATTGTTTACGAAAGGAGAACATTTTTACTATGAACCGGAGAGCATTTCGAAATGTTCGCCTGTTCACCGGGGTGCATCGCTGCGTAAATTTTAGACCTATGTTTTCTAATATGTACACTTAATTATTAGTTAGACGACCTACTACTATTAATTCACCGGGGTTACATCGCGTTACAGTGTCATAACGACCAATGCACTTACAGATTAGATTATTAGCAAACGACTTTAAACTATTGATTCACCGGGGTTGCATCGCCTTGCACAGTCCAAACGACAAATGCACTGAAAGATTGAATAAATGTTATTTTTACACTAGACGACTTAAAACTAAAGATTTACCGGGGTTGCATCGCCTTGCATGGTTCCGTTGACTCATGCTTACTTAAAAATTACTTAGAACAAAAATTTAAATTATCTAAAAACTATTTTTTCACCGGGGTTGCATCGCCTTTCATGGTCCTGACGACTCATGAATACCTGAATGTAATTATTATTAATTGATTTAAACTGTCCTAAACTACTGATTTACCGGGGTTGCATCGCTTAGCATGGTTCCAAAGACACATACTTACTTGATAACTATACATTAACTTAAGCTGAACGACCTAAAATTACTGATTTACCGGGGTTGCATCGCCTTGCATGGTTCTATAAACCGATGCTTACACATGAAATATACATATATTAATTTAGCTGAGAGACCTTAAACTACTGATTTACCGGGGTTGCATCGCCTAACATGGTTCCTGAGACCCATGCTTTCTTGACAACTAAGTATTATTTTTACGACCTAAAACTACTGATTTACCGGGGTTTCATCGCCTTGCATGGTTCCAATGACCACATGCATACTTAGAGAATTAATGATTAATCTATCTAAACTGTCTTAAGCTACTGATTCACCAGGGTTGTATCGCCTTGCATGGTTCCGAAAACCTGTGCTTTCTTTAAAATTATGAATTAATTTAATTACTAAACGACCTACGTCTAACTGATTCACCGGGGTTGCATCGCATTGCAAAGTCCAAATGACTCCTGCACTTACAGATTAACTACCTAACACTAAGGATTTACCGAAGTTTAACGCGTTGCAAAGTCTGTATTGCAAATGCCTATGCAGGTTGAATTAACATCTGAGGGATCAATCGATAATTTTAAGCCGAACGACGAGTTGAAAAAAGTTTAAGTTCTCAGGTTAATTTTCTTAATCAAGCGTTCAAGTCTTTCTATGCTTTCAATTAAGAAGCGTAACGCATTAGTTAAAAGAGAACACTGAGACACTTTGCACTATCAGATTATACGATGACCCATTCACAGATCATTTTTAATGAGAAAAAATTTTAAAAAAGAAGAAGAAGAAATCAGGGACGGGTAACCTGCTTAACCTCCCCCCCCCCCTTCCACCCTTTCGAGTCTGCTAGAAACAAAACTTGATTCCACACATGAACAATAACGAATGAAAAGAATAATTAGAAGGACGAGCATTTCCTGATAATAATCCTGATATTATAAATTAATGAATTGCTTTAATTTGATCAGATCTTTGAATGATGTGCGGAAAATTCAAGGAGAAAAATGAGAAAAACTGTGGGTCTGAAATACATGATTTGGAGACATAAGCAACCAACATTGAGAACATTTCGGTAACAGGTACTGAACTCATATAGAGCACTAAACTGTCTCAGTTTTAATCGATAGAATCAATAATAATACAGATTTTCGGTCACGGAAAACAAATTCTGATTTCATTGACAGAAAACTTCGGTTACTTAAACCGAAAAACTTCAGTGGTTTATATGCAAACCTAATATTTTTCTCGGAGCACACTTAAATAGAAACTTGGAAAATTTGACGAATTGAGATATGAAGAGAAAGATAATATATGCAAAAGTATAAGTCACTGATCCCGAAAGAAATCATGGAATTATTTTGAGCAACGGAATGAGATATGATAAACTGAATTTTGGCAACATGGCATCGCGTGGCATCGACCGCGAAGCGATATCAATCAAAATCAGGGACCGAAATGCAAGATAAATCATTAATTATTTTAGATTGTGACCGATCACAGGGAAACGGAACGTAGAGGGAAAACAGAGTGGCATGTACACTAATCACAACGAGCGATGAATGGAAAGTCGGATCAGGCTGAAAAACAGATTTGACGAATTGCTCTCTTGTCGGAGACGCCGATTATACTCGCGGAGGTGGAGGGGGCATGCATTCCTCTATGGACAATGGAAAACGAAGAAAAGCATTGATCGAGGAATCAAAGGGGTATTAAACTGTAAAGGGAAACGCGAGCTCAAGACTTATACTTTTGCAGTGAACATGAAAAAAAAACGAAAAAATCCAAGGAAAAATTGTCTACCAAATTGCATCAAACTACATTAATTCGGTGCTTCACTATTGGTTCTTAAATTAAGTGAATCAGTGCTTTTAGGAAGGGTGGAAGTCCAGTTTTCAAAGTCAGCTCTTTATGCATTTTTGGACTCTCCTTTTTTCCTCGCCATAATACTCGATAAAGCAGCGGTATTCTGCCTTCAGATTGTTTTCATTATCAAAAATCATTTGAAAAATTTGACTTCAGCCCTTCATAAAAGTACTGGATAAGTATTGAAAAAGGGCGCAAAATATGCACGTTTTCTAGAATTCCATTTTAGATGTGACAAAATGGGCTGAAAAAGGACTATGCGCACAAAGGGGAACTAGTTAAAAAATTAGAGATTTGTCCGAACATTTGCACACTGAAGCTCGTATTACACGCAGGACTTAAAAACTGTTCTGACTTCGCTCAGACTTTAGTATTCATTGGAAAAAAGTCGCTTGGATCTAGAGTCCAGACTCTAAAAAAACATTGACAAGAAAAGTTCTCTAGATTCAATCGGACTTTTGGCTTGAATCAAAAGGAAATCCGCCTAAATCAGGGAACTCGGTTCTTCGATTCAAGGAAAAATCTGATTGAATCAAGAGTATTTTTTCTGGTCAATGTTATTAAGAGTGCGGACTCCAGATCCAAGCGATTTTTTTTCCAATTCTTTAAAAAGTGAATGTGAAGCTGCGATGGCGTCGTCAAAAAAGTTGACCGTGTGAAATTACAGGACATAGCATAATGTACGAGTCATCTGTACTACATCCATGGAGAAGATTAGACACAACTACGTTAAAAAAGTTGAATGTAGGTACGCTGATTATACGTGTAATCAAAATTAACTGAGTTCTTGAACTGAAAATAAAAAAGATCACTCCATTTTTTTAAAATTTAATTTGAAAAGAACAAACGCGACCCGCATAGCTGGTAATGATTCTTTGAAACTACAAAAGTTATTTCGGAGCAAACTGAAAAAAGTAATTTCTCGTTTAGCCCTTTAGATCAAAACTTTCCATCACAAATATTAATGAGTTAAGGATTAATTATCAAAATTCGAAGAAAATTTAAAGCTGTAAGTAAATAAGGATTACTTCATCCTGCGCTATAGATAGTGCAGTAAAAAAAAAACATTTAGTTGAAAGTTTGAAGCCTCGCCGAGCTTAGGATGCAAAAAAAAGTAACACTTGAAATGGCAAAAAAAGAAGTCATGACCAATCGCTTGAAAGAGGTGCAAGTGCTGAGAAAAGGAAGGCAGCCTTTGAAAAGACCTCTTACAGCTTCCAGGAGACAATTATTACGTTAAATTCAGAATAACATCCAAATTTGGAAAAAATTTGTTCGTGGGTAGGAATAACCTTCTGAACCGACAAAAATTCATGCACATTTGCTTATTTACACCGTCTTCATAAGCGTGTTGGAACTGGGTAAAGTATTTCTTGCTAATAAGAAAGGAATGGTTTCAAAAGTTTACACTCTGCAAACTGAATGCATTGAACTAGATTTATGAGTCTAATAAATAATATCTGATTCAGTAAGATGAATGTGATCCATTGAACATATGAAAATTAGAAATGCGAGTTTTCGAAATAGATTTAAGATTGATTGCAGCAGTCAGCTAAGTCAGATTACACATTGGAATGTGTATTAAATAGTCATTAAACTAATACAAATTTCTTGGGTCCGTGCAGTGGAAATAATTAAACCGGACAGGTCCTTTTAAGGGACTTAAGACCTTCCCTCTGCATAAAGATCCGTCGAGATCACGAAGAAAAAGGAAATGATATAAAGAAACTGAAACTTTACAAAACGTTGAGTTCTCTGTACAAAATGTACACTCTGGAGGCTATTTACAAGAGTATCACGGGTGTAACCATCAACAACATAAAAATCAGTCTTGACGACAGGTAAACCAAAACAAAGGAAGGAAATGGCACTAGAAGGGAAAAAAAGGAAACAGAAAAAAAGATCTAGTATACCACGGGGAGCGGCCTCCTGATCTCCATGTCCATGGGGTTGGCGGAGGTGGGTGTGGGTGTCTGTCCGGGACTGGATCCAGGGCTGTGTTGTCCATGGTTAGCGAACATGAAATGCGAAGGCGGCTGGAACAGGGCCGACAAGTGCGGTGGAGGCGGCAGGTTCATCTTGCCAGTCGGAGATCCGGATTGCGGGTACAAACTCGAGTAGAAGGAACTCACAACAGCCGCGGGAGACTTTCGGTTGCTGTCCGGGGACATGGGCTGGTTTTGCACTAACTTGGAGAACTGCATCGCGTCGAACGGGGCACCGAAATAGGGCACGGGGTACGAACCCAGACCTTCGAAACTGTGAGCGGTCGTTGTAGGGGGCGCGAAGTACGGGAAGTTGGAAAAATACCCGGAGTTGGTTGTTGGCACTGGAACGGTCACTGCTTTCACGAGGCCTTGCTTGTTGGAGGCCGGGGATTTGGGCTTGCGACGGGGGCGATACTTGTAGTCGGGGTGCTCCTTCATGTGCATGGCACGGAGGCGCTTGGCTTCGTCGATGAAAGGCCGCTTTTCCGTCTCGGACAACAACTTCCACTCGGCGCCGAGCCGTTTCGAGATCTCCGAGTTGTGCATCTTCGGGTTGTCGAGCGCGATTTTCCGGCGCTGGATGCGCGACCAGACCATGAAAGCGTTCATGGGCCGCTTGATGTGAGCCTCGAGCTGGAGAGGCGAGGCCGTGGAATCGCGAATCACTGAGACCGGATATCCGGAATAATCGTGCGGGGATGACATCGTCATTTTAGAACTGAGACACTGATAAACAGAACAATCGAGCTGAGCGTCGGGGGTGTGAGAGCGAACTGAATTGGGAGCGTCGCGTAGCGAGGCTCGAAGGCCGGCTCGCGGTGCGGCTGGGCGGGGCCTCGCCGACCAATCCCGGCGCGCCGCGCCCCCTCCAGGTGAGCCTTTCACCTAGCTCTTATTTCTTCCTCCGCACAATGGATGTTGCCGCTTGTTTTCCGTGCCGCTTTTCTCCGCTTTGTTCGGCGGAGAATTAGTGGGAGGCGGAGAGAATCGCGATGTATGAATATATTGTTGTCAACTTTTTCTAGTGCTTCGCGCGACATTCCCTGCTTTCTACGGCTTCCTGAAGAGGGCTAGGCGGGTTTCACCTGTTCTGCTTTGAGCAGGTTGGCGCTTTTTGGATCGATTGTCCGATTTTCGGGGCCTGCAGAGGCATAATAATGCGTTGCGGTCGCGTAATTTCACGGATGTGGTCAGACGTCCACAATAGATGGGATGATACACTGAGTGAAATTTTCCGTCGCATCCACGGGTATGCCTGTTGTATATGCCGCGACAGGAATTTCTCGTCTAAACAACAGGAAATCTTGTAATTCGTCTTCTTCAAAGCGACAGCGCGTGTCTAATTATTGAGATTTTCCGGTCGATCCAACGAGAATCCCCGTCGCAAACATGGTTAACGGTCGAAAATCTTTCTCGGTGTAAAGAAATAAATAAATGAATAATAAAAAAAATTCTAAGAGCTAAGAAATCATATGAAATAAAGGGTATCGTGCCGATAGCAAGCGATACACTTTATTTCATAAGATTTCTTTTTAAAAATGTTTCCTTGCAGTCTATATCTTCACGGGAACTGTTCGTGCAAAATATCAAGCCGATGTCTTCATTCCGTACTTATTCCGAAACTGCCTGGATAAATGTGTAATAAACTGTATACAAGGTATTACTTGGAGCAAGAGCTCTCCCTGCAAAAATCCCTAAATAAAGATTTGTAAAGTCGTGAGTCTAGAAATCTATTCCCCGCGGCAATATCAAAGTATTACACATTAAAATAAGTCTCAAGGAATCCGCGAGTTAAGTCATTTTTCTTCTCAAGTCTTCTCATCAAGTCTTCTCAACAAAAAAAAAAAACTAGCAATATCTTTTGACATAATGTAAAACGGATTTTTTGCCCAACAAAATATAAATTAAATGGGAAAAAATTAGAAAATGTAAGAACAAGAAAAGAAGACGAAATAATTTGGAAATTGAACGTACTAGAGGTTAACTGGAGTTGGAGTGTACGCTAAGATATTCTAGGAACAAAATATCTAGGCCGCTTAACGGCTACTCATACAGGAGAGTTCGCCTTCAAATTCAAATGATACTAATGTTAGTGCAGTGCAGTGACAGGCTGACCATGCGTTTTGAAGGAAGGAGAATGAGACTAACGGTCATCGTAGACATGTACCAATACATTTTTTACAAGAATCCAATACTCTGCGTCATAAAGGAATTTATAACGCTGAAAAAGTAACCTTCTTATTTCTAAATTTTGTTTTTCTTTTGCGTGCGTATGTTTGTTCGGTAACATTCAATACAAATTGGACGTATTTATGCTAAAAGGAACTATGTGCATAGGGTTAACATGTAACATAGTTCCTTTTAGCATAAATACGTCCAATCGAATGTTGCACATGTGCAAGTGTTATCTCAGCCAAGCTATTAAAATTTTTTGCTTCATGGCCTTTTTATCATGCTAGTTCATCATAATCGGCATATCCAATGATATTGCTATATGACGCTCACTTGTGAATGACTTGTTATTGACATTTTGAATGCTGAAAAATCGTCTTTAAATTGATAGTGAAATTCAGTACATCGTTACTGTATTTGTTACATCTACCAATTCTTGCATCGACGGTTACATTGTTGTCCTAACAAAAATAAGTTTATTGTCATTTATAGGATTTCATAATCTAAAGAGAGCAAAATAATGTCAGATTTTTTATTTCCTCGGAATCGACACTTAAATCGCAACTATATACAAAAGGATCAACACATATGAACACGGTGCGGGGAAATTGAGAATTTTACATTTAAAATTGATGTGAACTTTGTGTTATGATCAAATAGCAAAATGTCCACTAAATGCAAGTTTCTCACGTAAAATAATAAATCATCAATGATTATGAATAAAACATTGAAAAAATTCTTAGGCGTTGATTTATTAGGATGCACTGCCGTGCTAAGGAAGAACGTCGTATGTGTCTTTAGAAGTTGCCAAATTTCATTTGATAAAAAAAATTAATTTCCTGGAGAATCTGTAGAATTTTTCCTCCGATTTATCAGAGACTTTAGTACACTATATTAGATCTAAATTATCTGAAAATTTCAGAAAATATTGATAACCCTCCTCAAAATTTAAAATATTATCAGAAGAAATTTGGCAACTCTCGAATGCTCATATGACGTTTTTCTGTAACTCGGCAGTACAGTTATTTATGTTTTTTTTAAATCTTACAGTGGCTGATGAAGTAATGATTAAGACAATGTGCATATTTTCCCCTTCCTTTAACGGAAACCCATTCTAAAGAACTCATTACTCAATATGTATAAACTGCGAGTCCTTTCAAAAGGATTCGATTCGGTGGTGTATGCCTTATTTTATTTGGAGCACCGTGTCGTGCTCGGAGATGAATCGATCGATGTCCGATTTGAACCTATGGAGTAGGATCGATTATCAGGGGGTGACTTAATAATCGATTCTTTACCATAGCTTCAAATGGTCTAATATCGATATCCCCTGATTTAAGTTTCAGCACTGATTACTTGAACATCTTTTAATGAGCGCGAATGAAGCGCTACAAAAACGGAGCGAGCTGAAAATTGCCCGAAGTATTTTGCCCTGTTGAAAAAGAGCAGCCTCTTAGTGGCGAAAGCTCCCGAACTGAAGACTTACTCAACAGCCGCTGTCATGCTAAGGAAAAACGCCGTATGAACCTACAGGCGGTGCCAACTTTCCTCTGATAAAATACGAATTTATTGGGGAAATTGTAAATATTTTTCTTCCAATTTTTCAGAATATTCTGTGCGCAATTTAATCTAAGATATCTAAAACTTTCAAGGAAAAATATTCATAAATTTTGTCAAAAATACATTTTTTTATCCGGAGAGATACGGCAACTCTCGAATGTTCATACGGCGTTCTTCTTCAGCACGGTAGAGCGGTGCGTAATGTTGTTAAGGAAAAAAAAACAAAGGGCGCGGAGGAAAGAGAAGCTCCGCGAGACGTACTAATGAACGATTTAGCTTGTTTTCTGCTTACTTCGCCTAAGCGGCGCACACTGGATCGAGTCAATCAGAGCGGTCGAACATGAAATTTTTTACTGAAACTGCAAATTTTGATGCTTATTTCGACACATTTTTAATTTCAAGTGGTGCTTTGAGAGGTAAATTTCATGAAAAAGCCAATAAAACCACTTTTAGAACCTGAAAATTTTGTATGGACCGAGTTATGAGCTTTTACATTTTTCAAATTTTGTCCAACCCCTCCTATTGTCTCGATTCACTGTGCGGCGGGAGCCCTGGAGTCGAAACACGGACGAAACAATCCTGTGCTTACAACAATCACAATCCTGCAAGACACAGGAACACGTTAATGAATGCAGATTGCTCGGGGTGAGAAGGGGGATGCTCAAGTGTGGGGGTGAGCACCTCTGCAGCAGGGCTCCCTCTTGGTGCGAAGAAACGCTAGGGGATGGGGGAGGTTCGACGTTGTCACATTCATCTTCGATCAACCCTTTCAATCCGCACCATGCCCATACAAACGAATTTCTGAGAGTTGTTTTGATCAACTTTCATCAGCTTCGACCAGATCGACAGGGTTACAACCCAAATAGGGGAACGCTCTGCTGAAGTCAAGAACTTTGATTCTGGTTGCTTCATGTGTTTCGGCCAACATTTGCATCATCCACTTCTCGTCACATCCATCACACTAAACATTTTTTTAGCAGCTCTTGACTTCATCAATGAATAATAGTACAGGCTACCTCAACAAATTGACAAAGTGTTATTACAAAAAATGTTGCACATTAACATCTTAAAACAAAATTTAAGTTGCGGCCTGTGTTTCACTTACATGAATAAACAATGTGAAGATTTGCACGAAAAAATGTGATTGCTTCATCTGAGAGTGCTCATTGAGCTGAGTTCGCAGTATTTTTCATAATATTTTCCGAGATGGGAAATCGTAGAAAAATACATTTAAAAGTGAGAAAATTTTCCCCCTTGTAATTCAATCCTAAAGAAATGTTTGTGCCGAGAAGCTTCAACCAAAATCTTAATGTGAAGTCAAAGAAGAAGAGAATGATCAAATCATGATACATTCCGTAAGATGTAGACCGTAAATGAACAAAAAATTGTTGCAACGATTTTTGAAAGAAATTGAAGTTGAAAAAATTCACGGCCCTTTTCGATACCACTCCTTTGGTCCAAGTACCCACAATGAATCGCGCAAGAGCTGAGGGTCCACCTTAAATCTGTCGTGCTAAGGAGGAACGCCGTATGAGACATCAAACATTGCCAAATTTCCTTTTAAAAATCACGAATTCCCGGACAATTCGTAAATATTTCTCTTCCGATTTTTCAGAGAATTTCGCACGTAATTTGATCAATAAGTATGAAAATTTTAAGGAGAAATATTCATAACTTTCCTCAAAAATAAGTATTTTCTGAGTGAAAATTTGGCACCCTTCAAATGCTCATACGGCGTTTTTCCATAGCACGGCAGAAATGGTAACCAACCGCGTGCCGTGCCAAGGAAGAACGCCGCATGAACATTCGAGAGTCGCAAAATTCCCCTTGATTAAACATGGATTTTTGACGACATTCATTCACATTTTTCTTTAAAATTCTCAGATATTTTAGATTAAATTGCGTACGAAATTGTCTGAAAATCTTGGGGGAAAATATTCACAATTTCCCCTGCAAATTCGATATTTATCAAAGGAATTTTGGCAACGTCCGACGGCTCATACGGCGTTCTTCCTTAGCGCGGCAGAGCGTGCCATCGGTGGATTCGGCGATCA